ACCCCTTAATTTCCACTGAGTACACTTTTTTAACTCCAAGTGACTCAGATTCATTTAATTAAGCCTTATACTTAATTTTACTCACTAAAACATGCTTAATTATTTAATTAAAATTAATCAATTAAATGCTTAAGTTTGGGGTATTATATTCACCCCACCTTTTTAACGATTTTGTCCTCAAAATCGACAAAACCACTCATTCAATCATCTATGGATGTATCGGAGAACTCTTCTTGTGTTCCCGAAGTTACCCTATTAATCAGTTCCTCTTTTCCTCATCATCTTATCATAAGATGGAATGTTTCATTCATGATTCAATCTATGTTTTATAATTAGGTGATACTAATATGTTCAAGCACTTTTATCTCTCATTTTCCTCAAGGGTCATACCTATTCACTTGATATTTAACCCTGACCTTCTGCGGTCCTACTAATAACCTCATACATAAAATCTCATCTGATGGAACTTCCAAGAGAGATCCGCTATGGGCTGTTTCTCTTAGGTATCTGACCACAAGGAGGTCCCGAAGGCTAACTCCAAGGGAAGTTCTCCTCAAACTAGACCTTTAATGAGAATTCTCTATCTCATAGGATACTATCCTCATGGAGGTAATACTACCACTTCCATGGAAAGGTCATTGCACACAACTTATCATCTTTTAGCAATCTATGCATAGCTCAGTCTTTAATCACTAGACATAACCAATCACACAATCATAATTGAGTCCACAATTTAGGCATGTGTGTCTCTAACCTCAATAAACTATGCATGTCATATTAATCTACATGCGTCATACCTCCCGTCAAATATGGGAACCTCTCTAGCTGGGGTTGGGTCGAAGTGCTAACATGTGCCGCTGCTGAAGGGTCAGAGACCACTTGCACATGAGCAACCCGTCCCACAATCTGGGGACAATCCCTCGCATAGTGACCAGGTCTACCACACTTAAAACATACGTTCTGGCCCATCAAACAAACGCCCTTGTGATGCCTGCCACAATTATCACACTTTGGCACAATAGGTCTTTCATTGTCCCAACTCTGTTGGCTCCCGCTTCTTTTAAACTTTTCTTCAGACTGTCTAGCTTGCAATTTTTCTTTGATATTCCTGTCATCCATCTTCTTACCCTTTTCTGAAGTAGAGCCAATTGCTCCACTAGCACCAGACGTTTGTGCCTCGGAAGACTTCTTACTTTTCGGCACACCATAAACTTCTTCCACCTTCCGGCATTGGTTCACGAATCTACTAAACTCTCGGATGTCGCAATTTGACATCTTCCGAGACATCTTCTCATTTAGACCCCATTGAAACTTAGAGGTCATCTCAGCTGGAGTGGGTAGGGCTCTCCCATAATTGGCGTATTTCACCAACTCATTGAATTTTGCAAAGTATTGGTCAATAGACATCGACCCTTGCTTGAGATCGTTGTACTCATTCTGCTTCTGTTCCCTAGCCTCTCTAGGAAAATAGTTATCCAAGAACAATGTCTCGAACAACCGCCAGGTGATTTCCCGGCCTTCAGCTTCTATTGGCTGCACGGTATTTGTCCACCAATCTTTCGCTTCCTCTTCCAGCATATAAACAGAGTAAGCCAACTTCATTGCGTCAGGGCATCTCATCACCCTAAATATCTTCTCCATAGCTTGGAGCCATTTTGCAGCCGCCATTGGCTCATAACCTCCCTTAAAAGAAGGAGGTTTATGTTTCCGGAAAGCCATCAATCTCCTTTCCTCCATTTCATGATCACCGACATTTTCAACTTGAGGTTGACGAACCTCAGTGTGATGACTCCGACTTCCAGAGTGATGGCTACCTTCACCCTCATTGTTACCCACTCCACCCTCTTCCTGTGAAGGAGGTGGAGAAGGCGTAGCAGTGTGAGGAGGAGGAGTGGGTTGCCGGTTCACGGGCCTAGGACCCCTCAACGTCCTCAGCTCAGTCATCATTGCGGCCATGGCAGTCCGCGAGTCTTCATTTGTTTTCATTAGATTCTCATTGGCTTGCCTGCTAGCAGCCAACTCCCTCTGAACAGCTGCAAGAGCTTCAGCCACGGGATCAGGCTGTATGCCCGTTGCCCCACGGCCACTTCTAGGCCTCACAAGAGCAGCCAAAACAGGTTCTGGCTGAGCATTGGTGTTTGATGGTCCGGGGTTGTTTCGGTTCCTCGTCATGTCACTACACATGTTACACAAAGAAGTGAGTTGATCAGGCCCACACTTAGTGATCACAAATGCAATAATCATACAGAGTACTAAAACAACTATAAAGCATCAAACACTAAGCATACTCAACAATAGCTAACAGTTATTCCCGACGAAACTGCTCTGATACCATAAAATGTAACACCCCGTTCTAGAACCGGTTTGTTAACATCGCATTATGATATTAAGCGCAGTTACAATCACATTGGCTCAATTAAAAATCCGGATGAATTTTTCTTTTTAAAACGACGCCGAATTTAAAATATCCAATTGCGTGATCATAACCATATTACCTTGCGGAACCAGATAAACCAAGCTTAACATCATGTTCATACTCCATTTCTAAACCATTAATTTACTTCTTGTTTATTTCACAACTTCTACTATATTGTAGATCTCTTCGTTAGCTACGCGTGGGTTCAAACCGCGCTCAAATCGGAGCACTGTAGCCCAAGTTATGGGTTTTCTACGAAACGAGTGCGTGAATCTTGCTGATCCCGGCGCGACCGGCGCCAGATGTGGCGCGGCGGGCGCCAACGAAACAGAAGCTCCCCATCGAAATGGCGCTGGAGGCGCCAAGGTTGGCGCCAGGTGCGCCAGCTGGTGATCCCGGCGCGATTTGCGCCAACTCCGGCGCGATTTGCGCCACGAAACAGAAGCTTTCGAGCAAAATGGCGTGATGTGCGCCAAGTTTGGCGCCAGAGGCGCCAAAGCTCTGAAGGTTTCACCAATTCTTAGTATTTTACCTCTAACTAGAGTTATACATGTCCAATTCACACAATATTGGTCTCTATGGAAAGCTAAGAAAAATATCTACAACTTCCATACATACACCACCGTCCCAACCTATCATATAATTTCCTCTTCATAAATGGTTCTTAGTTCTTGCATAATACAAACACATCTAAAGGGACATGCATGCCCTTTTCCTCATGGCTTGTACTAAAATTTGGGCAGCATAACCCTTGTTTTCTCAACAATTCCCAATTTAGAACTAGGTACCTAATATGATTTTCCAGCTCAACACGTCCAATACATAAAATACATTCATGCATTTAACTTGCAGTTAGCATCATACACAAATATCTTCATTACTTACAATATTACATCATGTCTTAATTACAAATCTCATATACATGCCAAAGGACTTAACTACAAAAGGAACATGATCAAAGCAAGTAACCATGTATCAGATACCCATTACTACTACAATGATCATGCACTAAGTCCTCCAAAATACATCATGTGGCATCAAAATATACATATAGCAATGCTAAATGGCATGCAACTCAACATGTCCAGCTATCAGGTACAATCTACTCATGCTTCTTGCCTCGATCAACCTCACCTCTATCAGTACCTGAAATGATGCCCCACAACACGGGGTGAGATATACGAATATATCACAGTAAACCAGAGGTCCTTGGAGATCACTCCACCCTAAGGTTCACTTTCGATATACACATAATCATAATAGCTTAACACATTCTTATCCACAAGCATCACATGGACTTCCAAGAGAGATCCACTAAGGGTTGTTTCTCTTAGGCTCTTACCACATGGAGATCCACATAGGGCTGTTTCCAAGGGAAGTCCTTTCCTCAATCTATTCCAAGAGAGATCCTCAAAGGGCTGTTTCTCTTAGGCTCTTACCACATGGAGATCCACCTAGGGCTGTTTCCAAGGGAAGTCCTTTCCTCAATCTAGGAACCTCCAAGAGGGATCCACATAGGGCTGTTCCTCTTAGGCTCTAACCACATGGAGATCCACATAGGGCTGTTTCCAAGGGAAGTCCCTACCAATCATCCTCATCATAATACTATCACTCACAACCTCAATCACAATCCTCAACCATTACCTCATTCATTATTGCTACTTCTATAACCATTCCTCAATTACTCTTAAACAATCAAACATCAACCAATAATCATCAATCAATCATAACATGTATCAATGCATGAGCATACAATTACTATCATAATTACATATCACATCTCATAAACCATTTCTCCTCAATGGAGTATGGTGGAACACTCAATGGGATCAACCCCAAGGGTTGGTCACACCACTTGGTCCTCTTGCCCCAATCCACCAATGGTTGCACAACCAAGCAAGGAGCGTTCCTCAAGCTCCCATGGAGGTAGAAATTCCCCAAACCCCAAAATCTCACAAAGGGCCGAATTTTTGAGAGGCAATATCTCTCTCCACAATGTTCCCCACTCAAAACTAAGCTAGGATTATGAAAGAGGGCGAGATTCTAAGCGATTTAGGCTTTTGAATCACTCAAAACGGTCAAGGTTTCCTCCCTCCTCTCTCTCTTCTTCTCCCTCCCTTTCTTCTTCTTCTTCTTCTTCTTCTCCTCTGTTTGCTCGACGGGTTGGGTGGGAAAATGGGGCTCTTTTTGTAGCTTTGGTCACTTAACTTATGTTAAGTGGCTTATGTGGGTATTGGTTCATCTATCTATTCAACTACATTAATTACCAAACTTTACCCAAAAGTCTGGAATACTATTCTAGGAATATTTTCATTTTTATTTTTATATTTTGGGCACTTTTGCCTGTACCCATTTATACCCCTTAATTTCCACTGAGTACACTTTTTTAACTCCAAGTGACTCAGATTCATTTAATTAAGCTTTATACTTAATTTTACTCACTAAAACATGCTTAATTATTTAATTAAAATTAATCAATTAAATCCTTAAGTTTGGGGTATTATATACAGAAACTTGAGACTGTAGTTATTATAAGAGTTAAATCAAATGCCTGCCCAAGCAACAGCTACAGGTGCTACCATATTTATTCTCTATGCCTCTGTCAGTTAAAAGAGTTAATTGCCAAAAAGTCAAGTATAATCTTGAAATACCTGCATAACTCGACCAGTAAACTCATCCACAATTAGGACCTCTTTTCCACGAATTATGTAGTTTACATCTCCAAGAAATAGTTCTTTTGCTTTTATTGCATTTAGGACATACGAAGCCCACTGTTCTCGTGGATCATATAAATCTTTGACCCCTAAAATTTCTTCAGCATCTTCATAACCCTGTTCAGAAAGTAGAACTGTTTTTTGTTTTTCTTCCACCTGCAATGACATTTTCAGTAAGAAGAATAAGATTGAAAGATCTACTTTAATTTTAATAAATTAAGCATCTACTCCTATCAGCAGAGATAATACAAGTTATACTCCTGATGAAAATCAACAACCATCGACCATTCACAATGCATATGCAAAACTTTCATACTTGTGTTTTTTAGTCAATTTTACATATATTTTTTTAGGTTTAATGTTTCTTATATTGTAGGAGATAAAATTATCTCCTACACACACATAAAAGTGGATGGGGTCCATGTTTTCTTTTTCTCTCTCTTTTCCTCACATGGCCCCACACTTTTATGTGTGTGTAAGAGATAATTTTATCTTCTACAACATGAGAAACATTAAACCCTCCTTTTTTTTATTTTGGTTTTCATGCTTATTGGCATCATAACCTATCCATCCATATGTAAAATCTCATGAAAACGACCATATATCCGAAAAAATGTCAAAGGTCCTCCTTCACCTAATTTTCACATTCTACATTTTTAAGAATAGGAAGACGACGTTGTCCATGTATTACAAACCTAGCAAATGAAGATCTACTCTCTTCAAGTATCACCCCTTAAGGGAAAGAAATATTAATCACAAATGAACTTCACTTACCATTTTCATGTTCTCATCAGGGGAAAAAATATTAACCAATGATTTAAGCAGTCCCACTTTATGATTATTTTTTACCATATTCTAATGTAAGAATTATAAGCCGATATCAATACACACAGTTTCTAACCCTTGCAAACCCAAAACAGAATACAGACTCCCCTTCAGATGATAATATTGCTTATTAGACAAAACCTACAATGTGAGCTGAGCAGGTACAGAGAGATTAACACTACTTTAATTTCAAAATGTAAACATAGTTTAGCAGACTTACAGTGTAATGTATGTCTCGTTCAAAGGCTTCTGCTATCTTTGCAGCCTTATAATATCGATCACTGGGTTTCTCCGCAGGTCCGGATATAATGAGTGGAGTTCTAGCTTCATCAATAAGGATTGAATCAACCTCATCAATAATACAGTAATTGAAACCTCTTATGACAAGCTCCTCAACACTCTGTACATTCCACAGTTTGGAGTTCAGTGTCATATTAGAAGGACAAATGAACTATTTACAAAGCATATATTAAATGCAAGACATAAGTAAAGGAAGAATTACTTTCCGTGGCAAGATTGTCTCTTAAGTAATCAAAACCCAGCTCACTATTAGTGACATACGTTATGTCACATAAGTAATTTTCCCTTCTTAGCTCACTTGTCATATTCTCTGCCATCAAATGCCATTATTTGTTAGACTGCAACAAAGGAATAGGTTTGAAACATGATGCATATTAAAGAAGAAAAGTTAATAATGAAAAGAGATGAAGAAAAGAAACATAAAAAGCCCCAAATTAAAAACCAAGAACAAGCTTAAAAAACAACCAACGCCAAACTGACTAACAGTGGATGAACATAGATTTTAAAAGATATAGACACAGAATAAAAAAAAAAAGGGGAGGGGGCAGGAATGAAGTATGAGACATACGCTGGATGAGGCCAACCTTCAATCCAAGAAAGCGAGGAACTTGACCAACCCACTCACAATCCCGCCGAGCCAGATAATCGTTGACAGTAACAACATGAACTCCCTTCCCACTTAATGCATTTAAATAAGCTGGCAAAACAGCAACCAGGGTCTTCCCTTCTCCAGTCCTCATTTCAGCTATTTCTCCCTTATGAAGAACCATGCCCCCTACAAAACCCCGATTAACAATATTGATAAATTTTCCCCTTATGCACACATATATACAAAATTACAAAACAAATAGCACGAGCTAGAGCTAAAACCACGCTACGACATGTATAATATAAAGTGACAAATTCCAATTCCAACAACAACAAAACACAGACGATAGACTTACCTATCAGCTGGACATCAAATGGACGAAGGCCTAGAACCCTCTTCGAAGCTTCTCTTACAACAGCAAACGCCTCCTGCAATACACACACACACACAATCAAAAGCAACTTCATTTGAGAAAATAAATTAAAAAATGCATAAAATGAAAATTTCCAGACTCACAGGCAAGAGAGAATCCAAAGTCTGGCCCTGTTGCGCGCGTTCTCGGAGTGCAAAAGTCTTGTCCCTGAGCTCCGAATCCGACAATGCAGAAATCTCCGATTCCAAACCATTGATGAGGTTAACGGTTGCCGCATACTGCTTCCTCGTGGCTTCTCCGGTATCGGCGCCTTTGAAGATGCCGCCTAACAAACCTCCGAGCGAGGCTACCGCACCCGATCGGCGCCTCCTAGTTTTGGCACTGCGAGTGGAAAACGACACTGGTTGAAGCTGAAGGTCTCCGTGAAGAAAAGAGGAACCAGTTAGGGTTAGGGTTTTGTGGTGATAAGGTCTCTGCGGATTCCAAGTTTTGGAGGTAAAAGAGGAACAGAGTGAGGAAGCTGCCATGCTTTGATTTTAGAATAGTGAAGGAAATTTGAAGAAATAATTTATAGTGAGAATTTTGGTTTGCACTACGAAGCTACGTTTCATGGGAAACAATAACTACTAACAAGTGATAGTGATGCACCCAACGGAGACAAGTGAGTTCTACGACTGAATTCTAATGGATAGCATTAGGAGCCAGGAAGATCGATAAGATAAGGAGAATCTATTATTGTATAGGCAAGCCTACGAGGAGTACGGGTGCAACTGTCTCCAGAAACACGTGCATTACTTGACTTAAATTTTTTTTTAAAAAAAATGGAAAAACTCGTATATGTTTTAATTGAAAAAATATATTTAATAATACAAAAATTAAAATTATAAAGCATGAATTTTATCAATCTAATATAATTTCATGCAATTTAAAAACTCCTGTAAGGTTGATTAAGTTTGCAAAATTTTATATAATTTAAAAAATAATTGTTACTTTATCATATCATTTTATTTTAATGCATAACATGATTATTAAAATATAAATAAATATCAATTATTCATCCTTTTGTATTTATATTATTTAAATTAATTATGCATATAGACCATTTTTTATAATTTTAATTTTCTTTAAACATTTCTTAATTTATATTTTTTAGTTTTACCAAAATTTTAAAATACCCGTATAGATATTATATTACATAGATACGAAGGTCAAAAATTCTTTTAAATATTATCATTTAATGATTTGATTAGTTATTACATTTTATGAGAATTTGGGACACAAGTGTTCATGACCTATGATGCACCGACACTGACACGGGATACGACACTTCGACACGTTAATTTTAAAAAATGCTAAATTTCAACACGTTGGGACACATTTTTATATTAAATAATATTTTTAATATATATAATATAGTTTACATTTAATACATATAGCAACTCATAATAAATCATATAACTAATCAAATATTCAAATTCCATAACATAAACATTAAGCACAAATAATAGAACATCCCAAGAATGTAGAGTGTAGATCACTCACAAGTTCAATTATTTTCATCTCCATCTTGAATAATCATGGCCTCTATCTCTGGCTCATCAAGGGAAAGACTAGCAAATTGAAGATCTCCAACATCATCAAGTGAACCGAATGTATCTCCAGCAATATTCCATATTTGATTTTCTCCTTGTGCATAACTAGGAGTCTTTCTTGATAAGAGTCGAAGATTGCTATGCATATAAACCAAGTCTTCAGCACGTTTTGGAGTGATTTTATTCCTCTTGATGGAATGCACAAAAGAATAAGTACTCCAATTGCGTTCGGCACATGATGAAGAGGAGGGTTGTTGCACAAGTCTCAATGCTATTTTTTGAAGCATCGGTATAAAGTACCAAAAAGTAGCCACCAAGATTTCGGATCCATAGTGTATTGAGTAAGGATGGCATCAAAATCGCCAAAGGTTCCACTATTGCTAATAAAATCTGCATACTCCAAACTAATCCGACTTCGGACCTCCATGCCAGGAAAGAATCTCCTTAAACAATTTTGTCGCTCTTGAGTAAGCTCTAAATCCATGTGTGGAGGAACTCGACTAGAATCTTCCTGAAGCCATTGTTGACTATAGTATCTAAAACAGAAGCAAAAAAAAATCAACAAATTGTCAAATTATATTAAGAGGAGTATTAATTTTAAACTGAATCATATTTAAAAACTTACTTGGGATTCAAAGCATGTGCCAAACAGTGTAGTGGAGTTGAATTTTTTGTCCAACGATCCACAAGAATGCGATGCACCACATCATAAAAAGAGGAGCTCGCTTCCATCATCTTCCCATCTTTATGATATATAGCTTTCTTCACTTTCACAATCATTGAATCCCACATATCATATATCAAGTGAAGACAAGCTCTATCAGTGTCACAAGCTCTGATCATATCATAAATAGGAGCAGTGAAGACAAGTATGTAATCAACTGAATCCCAAAAACAATATCCAATAATTTTTCCTTCACAAGTCTGATCCTCCCAAGATTAGCATCTCTATAAATATTCCATTTTAGCATTGGTTGAGAACGCTATGAAATTGATACGTTTCAGAATCTCTCAGCAGAAAAAAGAAAAAGTATGATAATCATAATATTGTCCATATATCATAAGAAAGAACAAAAGGAAGAGCATGAGACAGAATACTGCAGAAACTAGTTGCAAGAGAGACAACAACTATGTCCAGGAGATAATTTACATGCCTTAGTACCAGGGAGAGAAGAGTGCAGACGATAATTACACAGTTGAGAACAATAAATTTGAGGGGTTGGTTGAGAACGAAGAACACACCTGGAAACTAGCACTGACGAACGACTAGGTGAGGGACGGAGAACGATGGAAGTGAGGAAGTGAGTTTGAGTGGTATGATTTAGGGCTCAAAATATTTGACCAATTTATTTTATTTTAAAATTATTTTAATTTTATAAAAATGTCAAAAAAATTACATTGGTACTCTTTGACCGTGTCAAACATGGTCAAAATCGCGCATCGGGATAGTCAATGTGTCGAAAAAAGTTGATTACGTGTCGGAACGTGTCGGTGTTCGACACGCTTTTTTCCTCCAGAATCACGTATCTGTGCTTTGTAGTTCATGACTAATCCTTTTAAATGGAGCTTCACCCAATATCTAAACCTTATTAAATGTGTGTGAGAGGAAGAGATCCATTTATATTGTGTGTAAATGTTAAAATCAGTGTTGTTAAACCCGACCCGGTCGGGATACTGGGTCACTGGTCGGTCCGATTGACCCGGATATATATAGATATATAAGAATATATATAAATATGAACATATAAATTCAATTATATTTTCCATATTTAAAATGAATTAAACAAGATTCACTAAATAAGCTAAAAAACATGAAGTATAAATAAATAAAAATGCATGCTATTACTATGTCAATTTAAATTGCAACTCAGAATCACCATAAATATATCTCTCAATGACACTGAACTCATATTTTTCAAATTCAATTACATTATAATGACATATGTCACATTCTCTAATTTATTATTTCACAAATTACTTCAATACTGGAAACTAAGAGGTCATTGTAGAAGAATATACTAGCAAATAAAATTACAAAAAAATTTTAAAATGAGTTTTACATTTTTTTTTGATAAAATGAAAGAGTTTTGATTTTTTTTTTAAATGCATGACCCGACCGGGTCGCCGGGTCACTGGGTTTGTCCGGGTTTTGACCAGTTTGACCGGATCGATGCATGATCAGTTCAATGCTTGACCTGAACCGGTCTGATGACCGATTCGTCGGATTTCGGGTCGGGCCAGGTTTTACAACAGTGGTTAAAACTCATACTAATCATTTGACTATCAATTTTATTTTAATCTAATAATTCTATATTACCAAATTTAAAATAAACATAATAATAGTGATAAACTATTTATTTAGGAAAGAAAATAATCAAACATGATTTTAATGATGAGAATTATTAATAAAATATATGAATTTACCATGTTATTAAAAGTACCTTTTAACATTTTAATACAATTATGAAAACGCAAAAGAATTTTATTCTTCTTGTTAAATAACACCCAAGTTGACCAAACGATGATAACTCAATTGGCTAAGCAAGTAGCGGCGAGAACATATGCTCAATCCTCTCCAATATCAAAACAATGAACCAATTGCAATATTTCCAAAATAAAAAAAAAAAATAACACGAGTTGTGGATAAATTTTTGGGCAAAATATTGATCTCGATACAAAACATGCTTAAATAATTTTGTGTTTACATCACCTTGTCTTTTATTTAACTCACATACTGTTTAAATGATTATCTTGATGACCACGAGAACATATTTTTGTCCCAATAACGCTCATTCTAACGCAACCTTCGGAACAGTAGCTCCCTTCCAAAATTAATCTCAACAATGAGAAGTACTGTCAGCTAAACTTTCAGCTCTTGGATTTAAGCTTCGTCAACTTACGGAGATTAAAGAAAATCATTAGCAATCTAACAACTGTTACAAATACAAATGTAAGAGAAACCTTTATTGCTCTATGATAACATCTTAACAGCCGTCCTGTACACTGTGACGAATTCTTTTCATTTGTGCCACAGTTTAAAAAACAAAACAAAAAAACTAAAATTAATGGAAAAATAAAATAAAAATCAATAGGAAGCACTGAAGCGAGTGTTTAGGGGACAAACGCAAGAACATTGTATTACACAAATCACACAAAAAAAGAATAAGAAACGAGTCCCCTGGTGCTTGAAAGATGCAGCTCCCAATACACGTGAGGGTAAAAATCAGGTTGGTTCTGGTGGTACCACTTTTAAACTTCGCATCCACTCACAGAAGCTAGGATCATCGAAGTGAAGGAAACTGCATTTTAGCTTTGTTCGTTGTTCTGATGTCAACCACCTAAGTTGTGGGAATCTTGCCTCCTGCAAAGGTTTTATCGTTCAATTAGTATCCATAATACATAGGGAACTTGTTGGCAGTACAATCATTGTTAAATTTTTTTTTTCACAGTTTCACAAAAGAAAACATGATGTGTTGCTCACCTGCTCATAAGGAGGATCCTTGTGTGCAGGTATGAGTCGAGAAACAAAATATCGAGCCTGTGAGCTACCCTCCTGTTTCAAATGTACATGTCTGTTAAAAATTAAAATTTAAGTTCCAAGAAGGAGATGGAACAATGAAATATGCAGATCAAAACATGCAGGGTGTGAATAGTAAAGAAAATAAACCTTAAATGAAAGGATACGAGGAGCTGGAAAACGGAATTCAGTAAGCTCTTCAGCCAATGTCCGGCAAGCAGCTAAAGCAGCAGAACTTCTTGCTTCATCAGCTGCAAGTTCAGCACCCTAAGATCCAACAATCAATAGAAAAGAAGTTTTAAAATATTATGAGAAAAAGGAAAAAGAGCAAGAAAGTGAAACTAACAGTGAAAGGAACCACAAACACAAGGAACCATATTTAATTCACTATGGTTCTCACACATCAAGGTTCTGAGTGTCAAAATAACTTGTATACAAGCTAGAAGAAAATGAATACTATTTTTATGAATGCAAAGTAGACTTTTGGTCTACTTAACTTTATTGAAGTTAAATTTCTGTATCGCTAGTCTTATTTTTTTTTATAACACTGTT